AATGAAACAGTGTAACAAGTGGTAAAACAACACACTGCCCCCTAAGCAAAGACATTATTGTGTGTCCTCTTCTTCCTCAAGTAACAAATGCCAAAAAAAAGAGCAAGTGACTCCCTTTCACAATGAATTACTCCTACTCTTCAGCTGTATGAACCATCTTAGTCTTTGCATTTTCATCACTCAACTCTATCACTAATCACTTCTAATTAATAGCTCATTCATTATAGTGGTTCTCACTTTTCTACACCATCACTGAAGATCAAAGGTCACAATTGAGATCTACGATTAAAATTCATTTTTACTTCACTACCCAATAAACTCCAACTCGAAAGCAAGAGCAACGGATTGAACTTGATTAAAATTAAGAAAATATAAGTATAAAAAAAAATTAAGGAAATATTGAATAGGCATTATAAGAGTCATGTTTAATACAAGGTGGGAGATATGGACTTAGGGGGTGTTTGGTTTAAGGGATAAGGGGGATAAGACAAGTTGGATTGGGTAAAATAATCCAAGGGCCCACAAAACCCAACTTTGGATCCACAAAATAGGGTGGGATAGTCGTTGGCTTTGAATACATCGGGCCGTAGAGATTGGAGCCCAATATCCCTCCTAAAACGGATATGTGTACCCCATGAAGCATGTGGGATTCAAATTTTGCTGATAGGATTGATCGGAATTTTATGAAAACACCTCTGCAATTGATTAGGGTTTTTACCCTTTTTTGTCTGGCAATTCATTTCCAACCCATTGGTCTCACCTCTCTCTTTCTTAATGGTGCGCGGTTGAAGAAGTAGATATGCTTCTCTCCCTCTCTCTCTCCATCAATCTTTTTCCCGGTGCTTGCTCTCTCTTTCTCTGGCTTAACACTGTTGTATCTTTATCTCTCTGCCAAACCCATTTCTCTCTCTGTGCGAAAATCCCCGTCACTCAAACCCTTCTTTGTCGCCCCCCAAAATCCTCCTTTGCCTTGCACACCCATAAGGTGTCAGAATCGTCGCTATGAATGACAAATTTCTTCAGTCAATCACCGGTGTTGGGGGGTCTTTGATGTCTTCATAGAGAGGAGTGGCCAGTTATGTTGCTTACGCTCACACTTCTAGATTTGCAATTTTGTGTCCAAATATTTCTTGGTTACGGTAAGATAGGAAGAATTGTACTAGCAGCCCCCATGAAATTTAAGAAGTTCAAAATGTGTCTTAGTAATTCTTAAACTGTGCATATGAGAATTTTGAAGGAGCTTATTCAATGGTGTTTTTGATAGAAGACAAATTGGTTGTTTTAAGAGACTCATTTTGGGTTTATGCCATTGGTTATGGGTAGGAGGAGCAATGGGGCTACTGTGTTTGCATTTGAGACTGGTGCATTGGGGCTGTTATGGATTTGTTATGGGTAGGATGGATTTGTCTCTATTTTTTTTCTCAAATATGTTTTTTTGATGTGTAGGCCATGTCCGACGATGGACACAAATTTTTTTTACCGTTTAAAATATTTGTTTGTGTTTTTTGTTTTTGTTCTCTCCCCTCTTTCTATCTATTAGGGGTGTTCACCCTACCCTATGGGTAGGAAATATGCTCTTCCGCCTTCCTACCCGATACTTTGCGGAAGAGTTTTTTCTTGGCCTACCCTACCCGACAGGTGTGGTATTCCTACCCGATTAATCAGGTAGGAAGTCGGGTAGAAAATCGGGTAAATATTTTTGTAACAATTAATTTTTGGATCATTTTAACAATTTAATTAAATAACATGCATCAATTTAACAACACAATAAATCAATTAACACTAAAATCTAAAATAACTACAACAAGAATTATAATAAAACACAAGAAAATATGAACATCAATCCACCATAATTGTTACACAAATACAATAACAATTAATTTAAGTTTAAACTTTAAACCATATGAAATACATTAAAATCATAATTGCTCCGCCTATGGTTATGATTTAGGGTTTTTTTTAGTTTTTCTATATATTAAAAATTATTGCAGGTAGGGTAGAGTAGGAATGCAAAAATGAATGGCTATTCCGCATTCCTACCCGAAAATTGTCGGAAGACTAAAAACTCTTCCACATTCCTACCCGATTTTTGCGGCTAGCCGTTCAGTAGGGTAGGAACTTGCAACCGGTCGAAAATTTGAACACCCCTACTATCTATCTACATTTGAAGCTTTTCCAATTTTTGTCATAAGTTATGTGTAGTAACAAAAAAAATTGAAATTTAAAAATTGTTCTATCTTGTGTTGTTAATCTAAGAAATAAAACAATATTGAAATATTAAAATTGTGTACACTCCATATAAAAGTATTGGATTGGATAATGTTGATTGGATCTAGAATAGGTCAGATTATTTTGTGTTGGATTGGATGAGCTTGGGATTAATATCCTACCAATCTGGTCCTCCCATGGTAAGCCAAACACCCCCTTAAATAACGTTGTTGGAGTGAATTTGAAAAAGTGGTTAGTTAAAGTAAATAATAAAATTAGAATATATTTTGAGTAGCTATTTTAGATAATATTGTTGAAAATGCTCTTGGTTTCTTGGAATTAGTGGTTTAGCCTGCAAATAATGAACTCCTAACTCACTACGTGTATATATACTAGTAATAACCTGTGTCTGAAGGCACTAAGAAATTAAAAAACCTCGATCACCGGTTATGCAATATAAATATTTCAAACAATACTTTATTTTTTTATTATTTTCTTTAGTTACACAATTCAAAATTAATTTGAAAACACTATTTTTTAAAAAAAAATTGACAAAACTTCTCTAAAACCACGACCCCTAAAAAATATCAACATGTACACAATTTATATATTTAATCATTATACCTTAAAAATATCTTTTTTTTCTTTTTAGGAGTCGATATTGACATGTGTGTGTTGGTGGCTGTATAGAGAGAGAGAGAGAATTATATGAGAGATGTGATAAACTTATGAGAGATGAGAATATGATATATAGAGAGAGATTAGGGTATTAATAGGTATTAGATGTATTATGTTATTATATATATATATATATATATGAGAGATGAGAGTGTGTGAAAGATAAAGAGATGCAAACGAAATAAAAATTCAATTAGGATCATATAGATATAGATAGATAGATATAGGATGACATACATGAGCAGAGTTACACACACACACACACACACACACACACACACACACATATATATATATATATATATATATAGTCGTCCAAGCCAAACTCTCAAAAGATAGAGTTATATGAGAGATGAGAGTGTGTGAAAGATAAAAAGATGCAAAAGAAATAAAAATTCAATTAGGATCATATAGATATAGATAGATAGATATAGGATGACATACATGAGCAGAGTTACACATGGGCGAAGGTGGACATGGGGCCATCCTCAATTTGCTTTTTAAATATATATATATATATATATATATATATTCTAAAAGTTATACACATATTTTTTACTTGTACTCACTCTATAATTTTCTTATTTTAATTATTTAGTCTTTTTTATTATAATAATATGGTTTTCTTCGGATGACCTTCATTTTATTATGNATATATATATATATATATATATATATATTCTAAAAGTTATACACATATTTTTTACTTGTACTCACTCTATAATTTTCTTATTTTAATTATTTAGTCTTTTTTATTATAATACTATGGTTTTCTTTNACATATTTTTTACTTGTACTCACTCTATAATTTTCTTATTTTAATTATTTAGTCTTTTTTATTATAATAATATGGTTTTCTTCGGATGACCTTCATTTTATTATGAATTTTTCTAAGCGAAAATTCTTTCAATTGATCTTCATTTGATTTTGTTTTTTCTATGAAAAATTATCTTTTATTTTTATTCGAGTATTGATTATAGTATTTATTATGTGCTAATCAATTTTTAATTTTTTCACTATTTCTCTTAGATTTTAGTTTAATAGTTTTATTATACTAATATGTTAGTGATAATGTTTAAAACATCGTTTATTGAATAAATCTAATAGATTTTTAGTGAATAATTGATATTTTTAATTATAAAAATGAAAATTAACTTCACTTTTTACATTGGGGATAATTAGTCAATTTTTTATACATATAATATATATTATTTTTTGGCTTTTTTATGTTAAATGGACTTCATGTATCAAATATGATATAATAAATATAAATATATTATACAGTGTTATTGGTTAAGAGGAAAAAAATTAAAGTGCATAGTTAAAGTGCTCACCCTAAATAAAATTTTTGGCTCCACTCCAGATGACATATGTTAATGAACTTATAATTTATTAGAAATAATCCTTGTTATTGTATTTTGTCATGTTAATGAACTTATAATTTATTAGAAATTATCCTTGTTATTGTATTTTGTCATTATTATATATATATAAAGATAGTTTTATGAGTGATAAAAGAGTGTGTGCTAATCAATTATCTTTTATAGTGTATGAACCATATATTTATATTGAGATTATATTGTCCATTTGATATATTTATGTTTTATCTCAAAATAATCTGAACATCTCTTTATCTCTAAAATTCAATCTCCATTCTATTTTATTATATACTAGCAATAACCCGTGACTAAAGTCACTGTACACTGAATTATAACATTGTTCATGCATTAAAATGTATGTGTTGGAGCATGCGTATGTATGTGCAACTGTATGTTATGAAATGTGTGTTGGGTTTTTAAAATTTGGGAGAGAAAGTGTGTATTGGGTGTGTGAAATTTTGGGAAAAAAATATACCTTACAAGTTCAAACACTTAGCTGATTTATTATATAGATTATATACGTATATATATGTCGTAACAAATGACACATCATCATATCTTATCCTAGATAGAGAGAGAGAGAGGGAAGAAAAGGCACCAGCTCAACCCAAATTCTGGGCAGAATGGGGGGGAAGAGATGAGCGTTTCAGCTGCTGCTGCTACTGCTCTTGCGACTGCTTCTTCTGCCATCAATCTGCGCCGCCACCTCTGCGCCTTTGACCTNGGGGAGAAGAGATGAGCGTTTCAGCTGCTGCTGCTACTGCTCTTGCGACTGCTTCTTCTGCCATCAATCTGCGCCGCCACCTCTGCGCCTTTGACCTCTCCAAGCCTTCCGCTGCCTCCTCATTCCGTCACTGCCGCCAATCTTCATTACGAGGTTCCTCCTGGTTATCATAAGATGTGAATTGTCACTTTTTCCTCTTGTTTTCTATCAGCTTTGGTGTGAATAATTTTGTTTGAGCATCTCCTTTATTATATATGCTGTGACATTTTGGACCATTTTTTTTTAGAACCATGTAAAGAGGCGCATGCTACCATAACACTGGTGTGTCGTGTTTGATTTACACCTTAGTTTATAATTTTTTTTTAATATGTTAGATGTCCCTTGGTGCGCATTGTCGCACTGAGTTGAACTGTGTTATGTGTTAAGTCAAATGAAAATTTGAACAGCCCAAGTTGGGTTTCGCTATTTGAAATCATTAAAGCTGACTGAAACAGTTTAATTTTCCTTTCATTTTTGAATTTACTCAGAAGTAAACAACTCTTTTTTTTTGTCAATGCCTGTTTTAAGAATTTTAGGATCAAAGTAAATATCTTATTAATATTCAATGGACGTGACAGCACCATTAACTTTTCTTAGATAGTTATGTCTGCGTTGTTGCTTAACTCTTGTCTCTTCTATATGTTGCTACAAGGTATGAAACTGAAATACCCGTCTTTACTCTAGTTATGTCTTCATTGTTATGGTGCTCTTCCCTCTTCCATATTTTGCTACAAAATTTAGAATTGAAAGAGACGCTTATAAAATTTAATTGCTATTCAAAGTACAGAATGCAGGGCTTTGTCTTCCATATGTCTGAAGGGCTTGCCCGTAATTTTGAAATTGGTAGTTTCATAATGTTCAAAGGACTGTTAATTTGGTTGCTTTTCAAACTGGCATATCATTCAGTGCACATAGATTTTCTGTTCTTATTATTTATTAATTTTTTGTATTATGGATTGTAGATCATCTAAGTTTCATTGNAGATTTTCTGTTCTTATTATTTATTAATTTTTTGTATTATGGATTGTAGATCATCTAAGTTTCATTGTGGGGCTTATATTTTTTGACATTGTTTTACTAGTTTAGTTTATTACTAATTAGGAAAAAAACTTTGTACTTTTTCTCGAAAATAAAAATTGGGTACTTGAACCAAATATGGAGGATAGANTGTGGGGCTTATATTTTTTGACATTGTTTTACTAGTTTAGTTTATTACTAATTAGGACAAAAACTTTGTACTTTTTCTCGAAAATAAAAATTGGGTACTTGAACCAAATATGGAGGATAGAGAGAACTGATTCTGATATTGATAATGAATATGTATTCGATGTCCCATAAATGAATGGTGCAATTTATCCAGAGGGTCCCTTTCAGTAGTATTGGTACAACTGTACAGGTATCTCTCAATTGTGATGTTGGATTAGTTATAACTGAACTTGTGTCTTTCTTTGAACCAACTATATTTGAAATGGTGTTGCAGTTACAAATGATTCTAATAGAACGGAGTTGTCTGCTGATCCTACCAATGAAAGATCAGAGGTTGACAAGATTGTTGGTGGTGTGGACTTTGGTGAGCTTTGCAATGAGTTTGAATGTATCAGCAGCCCTGCTGTTGAAGCTACAGCAAGACAACTCGTACGTGATATCCTAGAGCTTCGTGAAGGCAATCGTGCCCTTGGAACCTTTGCAATCTCTGTTAAATACAAGGTATTGAACCACATTTTTTTTAGCTGTACTAGTTAATCAAATCTTATTCATGAACATTAGGCATGAAACTGAGCAATAATTTGTGGGTCACATATTTTGTACAAGTTTTCTATGTTTCTTATTTTTTCTATGGTTAACAAAAGAATTTTATGAGAATGATAAATTTTTTGATGGGCGACATTCAAAATTCAGGTCAAATCGGCATTGCATTTAGGGTTTTCAATACTGTCCACCTTTTAGTTAAGGTTTGATTATAAAGGCAGAGATGCAAGTTCTCGTGGAAAGCTTCAGGAAACCTCGGCAATGGATATTCATCTTTATCTAAAGGATGGCCATTTAAAGGTTGGGGGTTTTTGGATGACATAGGTTTTGTTGTCATTCCTTAGAGAGATGTTTGATATGGCCACCACCTTCCTAAAAGCGACAAAGTATTGATTCCATGTTAACATGGAGTCTTGTCGTCTTATCTCATTTTTATTACCGTTCCTTTTCTTCTTTTTCTTACCTTTTGTTATCTTCCTATCCATTTCTCAGTGACAATACGATCTCCATACTTTATAACTTCATATTTGGTTAAAACTATTCCAGACTGTAGTATGACTCTCTTGATAACTAGTGGAAATGTTTCTACTCTAATGGTTAGCATATTAACTGGAATTCTAACAAATAATTTGGCTTAGTTTCTTTATATTTTCTCTTTTTCTTTTGTTTGTTGAGTTCGCCAATTTTAATTGGTTCAGCCCACTGAGGTAAAGAAAAATAATTAGTTAAGAAAGAATGTTTGGCTGCCAACATGAGTTTGAATTCCTCACATTCAGTTTATTGTATGGAACTTACTTTTATGAGGTATTCATTATTTTATGACATAACATATGTACCTGCATTTATTCTTTATCTAGAGAAGTCCTCACATTGGTTGAGTTTTTTAAATGTTCTAGCGAATCTATATTTGTTCTATTGCTATTGTTCACTCTGGTTGCCTAAATATTATAGCAAAATTGTTCTTGTCACTCAGTACCATAGTTTTTTATTATGAAACTAATTGCAGGATCCAGTTAGAAGTTTTATTGGTCGAGAAAAATACAAGCGACAACTATGGGCTACTGCTGCCCTAGATAAACCAATTGTGGTGAGGATTTTGTATTGTGCTTTGTAATGATCATGTTTTGAGCTATTTTACATATTTTTTATGGGCTATAGTATGTAGAGTCAAACACAGTGTGTGCTTACGATTGGCATTTTGTTCTTCTCTCACCACCCATGACAACGAGTAGTTTTTCATTTGTTTCATAGCATACGACGACATGTTAGTGATTGTTTTTGAAAGGGCATATAATGATTGCACATGATTAGACCATTTAATGATTCGAATTGGTATTGGCATGTGACAATGAACACTTGGCGAAAAAGGCNTTGTTCTTCTCTCACCACCCATGACAACGAGTAGTTTTTCATTTGTTTCATAGCATATGACGACATGTTAGTGATTGTTTTTGAAAGGGCATATAATGATTGCGCATGATTAGACCATTTAATGATTCGAATTGGTATTGGCATGTGACAATGAACACTTGGCGAAAAAGGCGTTGATAGACGAAGAGCCTCTGTCAAACAGCAGATCAGTTGGCTGAGCCACAGGCTGACCTGCCTAATAAACTTACACCGGGCCTTGCAGCTGGTGAAGTTGTTTGGTGAGTAAAGATGTCGAGCAATGGACCGAGCCGAGTAAAGAGAATGGAAACCATTAAGTTGACTTCACCAAAGATGTAACCGAACTAGAAATACATAGGCTATCATCATAAATCATAGGCAATGCCGATAAGGAAGTTGTCTAAGTTATAGGTGAATAGAATAAACGTGACTTAAATAATAGACAAACCAAAAAGGAAGCCTAAACTTGCTCCAATACAACTGGCAAAAGATTCGGTGAAAGTGAAGGTGTGTCACCTTGCACCGCCAATTGCAGAATCGTAAAAGAGGGTATAGACCATTATAAATATCAGGAGAAGCTCAAGTCTTGGGTATGCATTCTCTTTCCTACAATTCTTTTACTTACTCTCAGAAATCTTTACTAACTTTAGTATTGGAGTGCCTCCGACTGGTTTAGCCCCGATCCCCGGCAGTTTGCACGTTTTGCCGGTACAAGGTGCTGTTCGTTCGTGTTTCTCAACAAAACCTTCCACTCAAGTTCCATACCACTCTTGGTCAAGGGTACAAGGTTTTTATCACCTACAATTGGCGCTGTTGCCGGGGAAGCGAACAAAAACAGTCATGTCAAATCTACAAAGCATTCTTGGATCACCACGCAACAACCAATGGTTTAATGAATATGAACTCGCACAGAATTATCGGGTCTCCCTACCGTTAGATAGCAATATTAGGGAAGACGCGACTAGAAGCTCAAAGGAGGATCACAAAGATCCTGATAACATATTGTTGGGAATGTATCATCCTTGGGATGATGCCCGACAAGGCAATACACACGTAGAAGTTTTCCCACGTACTGATTGGGAGGTCTCTACTTTTATTATTTATCTTATATACTTGTGATTTTTAGCACACATGTGCACTATGTGTTTGTTGATTTGATTGTTTGATATTCATTCAATCGTAGATGTGCAATTGAGTTTGGGTTTTGAGATTGACGTGAGATTGATTACGAGCGAATTATTTGAAGATTAATTAAATCAATCGTCATTGTCAAAGTAGGTTGTGGTGACTACAAGGATTCTCACATTCATTGTTATATCTTTATGAGATGAGGTAATTGTGGTGGGTTAAGTTTAATTGGTAATCAATTGAGTTAATATTGAAAAATCTATTCAACCCACTCTAGGTAAAGTGTTTATTGTTCCACGTGTATAATGGTGAGGGAAGATCCACATCGGGTTCCCTGTTTCGGAACAACGCCCCACCTCGATAACAAAACTTGTTGAGCAAGCTCTTGCTCGGCCTTCTCTATGCCATCCTCAAAAGCCCAAGCTTTGGATTTGGCTTTAAAGACTTCAAATTCTTTGAGGAGAGAAGCGTTTTCCTCTTGGGTCTTGGAAAACTCATGTCAAATCATCATTCAGAGAAGCTTAGTCATTTGGGCCTGAAAAATGAGCCCCTCTTTCCAACGCTTGGAAACTTTGACATCTAGAGTCTCATTTTTCTCCAAAGTGGTCATCCGATTGTAGATAACCTTACTTCAAGGCCTTATCCTTCTTCATGATTTGTGCTTCAACCTCATAAACTCGTTGGAGACTTTGCAAAGGAACTGGTACTTAGAAAATAGAAAAAAAAAGAAAAATAGAAAGAAGTAATAAAGAAATAATGCATCTTACCAACACCATCTGCTGGTTGGCACTTCAAGTGATCTCATCATTGGTCATCTACTCATTGACATCCAAATCATAGGGGAGAATCACCCTTGAGCAATCCCAACCGCCACATTCACGTCCTCCACTATGTAATCACTTACGATGATTTCCCAACCTTTAGCCTTCAAAGTAGGGCAAAAGGCAGAAGCCTAGGGCCGGATAGACCACTCTCTTCAACCATCCTTTTCTTGGCGACATGTTTGCGTCACCTAGTGTTATAGTTAAGGAGTCCTCGTCTTCGGAGGACGATTTCTTGGTAGGAGTGGGAGATGGAGGCACTAGGACTGTTAGACTTTTAGGGATGTTGGAAAGGGGACTTCGGGTGACTTCAACTGGGTTATCATTCGGAACAACAATGAACATGGTTAGGAGGTGAGACTTGGGGTACAGGCTGATTGGTAGGTACAGAAGGAACAATGTTAGAGGTACTAACCTGGTTGAGAAAGTTAAAAAAATTCCTCATAGGCGTGCCTCTTCTAGAAATTGTAGAGCTTAACCTCGTATGAGATCGAGGAGTTGAAGCATGCTGAGCCCTGATTGCTTCTCGATCTTCGACAAGGCTCGCATTAGGACGATTTGGAACGACAGTAAAAGAATGGTAGGTCAAAGAATAGTTGAGGATAACATGAGTAGATCGACATAAGAGGTTATCGTTGAAGGATCAGATCTTTTTCAAGTTTTCCATCTTCATTGATCACTAAGGAACTTTACCCTTAACAGTTTCAATCATTATTATCAAAATCATACAATTTGCGATTCNAGAGGTTATCGTTGAAGGATCAGATCTTTTTCAAGTTTTCCATCTTCATTGATCACTCAGGAACTTTACCCTTAACAGTTTCAATCATTATTATCAAAATCATACAATTTGCGATTTGATTCAATTTGTTTCCCATTCGATTCGTATCTTACTATAGAATCATTTTTGGTTGAAAGTCGCACGTGAATCGTACGATTTGATTCAATCGAAGGAATCACATGATTTTTTTTTTATTATTTTTAACCTATTTCTAGTAAAATGACTTCGTTTTGACTGTTAGATAGTCAAAATGACATCGTTTTGCTAGAAGAGACCCACCTTGAAATATAAAACTCGCATCTCTCTTTGTATCTCTTGTTCTTGCCTCTGCCTCTCAAGCGCCTGTGAACATCACACAAAGACGACGTCTCCTTTGTTCCAGGTATGCATCTTCTTCTTATTAAAAAACAGCTACCAAATCTTAACATACCCTACTTTTTTTTTCTCAAATAAATGTTCTGTTTTTTGTTTTTCATCAAAAATTTATTTTTCAATCTAATGTGGGAAGTGATTTTCTAAGTTTACATGCTTGAATCCGGTGTTATTTAAGGCGTAAAGCGAACCGAAGCGACCAAGGCTCTTAACGCCTAGGTGAGAGCGCGAAACGAAGCGAAACGCTTACCGAAGCGAAGCGAACAGTTAAAAAAAAAGTAAATATTTTAGTTTAATTACTTCTA